GCCGCGGCCCCGGGTGGGCAAGAGCACCGCCATCCTGCTGGGCCTCACCACGCTCTTCACCTGCCTCTGGGCGCCCCGCATCTTCGTCATGCTCTACCACCTGTACATCGCCCCGGTGCACCGGGACTGGCGGGTCCACCTGGCCTTGGACGTGGCCAACATGGTCGCCATGCTCCACACGGTGGTCAACTTCGGCCTCTACTGCTTTGTCAGCAAGACCTTCCGGGCCACCATCCGAGAGGTCGTTCACGATGCCCACCTGCCGTGCATCCTGGGGCCACAGCCGGAGGGCACGGTGGCGGAGCCCGTGCTGAAGCCTCCGGGACTCCCCGAAGGGGCAGAATTGTAGAGGGGGGCCCAGTCGGCGAGCTTGGGGCGGGAGGCGAGCTCGGGGCCAGTGTACTGGGCCTTTGTGGTTGTGTCCACAAAACTTTACCAACGCCCTACCTTGCAATCTGGGGCAGCCCCCCAAGTAGAGGGGAGGACAGTTTACCCAACTCTGGCATTGCTTTACCAGCAATTCCCATTTCCTGAAACAAGGAGAGGGCCCTGCCAGGCACCGGCTAACAGTGCCAGCTGCTGTGGGCATTCCATGATGAGGGACACTTCACCCGGCACATTAGGAAGGCAAAAGTCATGCTGGTTGAATGAGTAAATGAATGAATGGAATAATAGATGGATGGGTGATGGATGGGTGACTATGACCTGTTTCCATTTCCTTCTTTAAAAAAATACCCGGCACATTAGGAAGGCAAAAGTCATGCTGGTTGAGTGAGTGAGTGAATGAATGAATGAATGAATGAAATAATAGATGGATGAGTGATGGGTGGATGAATATGACCTGTTTCCATTTCCTTCTTTAAAAGAATAAATTTGTATTGATTTTAAAGAGGAAGGGAGAGAGAGAGAAACATCAATGATGAAAGAGAATCATTGGCCCTGACCGGTTTGGCTCAGTGGATAGAGTGTCGGCCTGCGGACTGAAGGGTCCCAGGTTCGATTCCGGTCAAGGGCATGTACCTTGGTTGCGGGCACATCCCCAGTGGGGGTTGTGCAGGAGGCAGCTGATCGATGTTTCTCTCTCATTGATGTTTCTAGCTCTCTATCCCTCTCCCTTCCTCTCTGTAAAAAATCAATAAAATATATTTTAAAAAAAGAGAATCATTGATTGGCTGCCTTCTGCACACCCCACACTGGGGATCGAGCCCACAACCTGGACTTGTGCCCTGACCGGGAATTGAACCGTGACCTCCTGGTTCATAGGTCGATGCTCAACCACTGAGCCACGCCGGCCGGGCTCCCACCTAATTTCCTGGGGCCCGCCTCTAATCCCCTAAATTGGTCACGTCTCTGGCTTCAGTGAAAGGAAAGGTACCTCCAGGATTCCTGGGCTGGGGAACCGAATGTGCGGGTGGAGCACCGGGAGGGGCGGTGGGAAAGCTCTAAGGAGATGTGACCCCTTGGGCGCCAGCCATGCTGGTTTGGTTCCACTTCACTCCCTCCCTGGAGCCGAGCAGGCTTCCTGGGGGGGCCAGTGTCATTGTTGCCATGACTATGGGAGAAGGAAATGCCCTCTCAGCCCAGGGGCCGGGAGGGACAGCAGGAAGGGAGGACTACCCCGCCCTCGCGCCCACTCCACTTGGAGAAAAGGCCTTTCTCCATCGAAGGGAGGAAGGAGGGGGCTCCTCCGACCCGAGACTGACCCTGAGGGTCTCGGGGGCCCTGCCTGCCTCTCCAGGGCCCCCTCTCCTGGGGCGGCCGCTGGGAGAGACTGGCAGATGGACCTCCCACCTGCTCCCGCGCTGGGTAAACACATTAGGCGCCGCTTTCTGCTTCCCGGTCAGGCCGAGCTGACCTTTCCCCTGCACAGGAGGTGCACCCACCCCCTTAATGGGGTCACAGAGGCGAGAGAGCCAGATGGACGCCGGGCCTGCAGTCAGTGTACGATCGATGCTTGGCTTTCCCCCCTTTCCTCTCTCCTTCTACCCGGAGCAGGACCGACCGGGAAAGGATGTGCAGCCACTCCCAGAGGGAGGGAAAGGCAGGTCCCAGTCCTTCAGCCACAATTCTACAACCAGGCACCCTCTGAAAACCAGAACGTCTTTCCCGAGTTTGCCACTGACACATCTAGTGGCAAAACCCGACCTGACCCGACAGGAGACGATGAACAGCCGCTGGGATCCAGCCCTGACACCTGGAGTAGCCACACTGGACCTTTCTCTACCCTGAAAAATTCCCAGTCCTGAGACACCTCTGGTCCCAGGAGTTCAGAGGAGCATTGAGGACCTGTAAGCCCCCCATTTCCGCCACCGCATGGTCTTGGCTGACCCTGAGTAGATTGAGGGCAAAAGGGCCCCCCGGGGCACACAGATGTGCAGTGGACAGAGGTGATGCACCAGGGCTTCATTCTTGCTTAAGGAGGAAGCGGTGCAAGCGTAGGCACCCCTGAGGGAGAAGGGGATGTCCACCCTGCAGCCCCACCCCAGGGTCCAGCCCTACAGAAGGAGGCTCTGGGAAGGAAGGTGCCTTTTGGTGCAGAGCCTAATGGAACACAGCTGGGGAGGGACCTTCTTCCCACCCTGTATAAAATCCACAGGACCCTGAAGGAGAGGCGCCCCAAACCAGGGAAGACCCTTGTCACGGGAGGCAGCTACGGATGGGCAATGACGGGGCGCCTCTCTCAACAGGCAGGTGAGCTGTCCTCAGGGAGACGGAGAGATTCACACGCTGGTTCCTGGTGAAACCAGGGACTTCCCGAGACAGGTGGGGAGGTGGGGAGGCTCCGTGGAGGCAGGTGGCGTTCTGCACCGGTGGGGCTCTGAGCCAGGAGAACCCGGGTGTTAATATAAAGTGACCTCACCTGTTACCTGAGTGTTGTTACCATTTTATGGACATTAGTCTCGGACAGTGATGGCGAACCTATGACACGCGTGTCAGAGGTGACACGTGAACTCATTTTTTTGGTTGATTTTGTTGTTGTTGTTAAATGGCATTTAAATGTATAAAATAAATATCAAAAATATAAATCTTGCCCTGACTGGTTTGGCTCAGTGGATAGAGCATCGGCGTGTGGACTGAAAGGTCCCAGGTTCGATTCCGGTCAAGGGCATGTACCTTGGCGGCACCAGAGTTAAGTTAGGGTTTTTCAAAATGCTGACACGCCGAGCTCAAAAGGTTCGCCATCACTGGTCTTGGGCCTGTCAGATTTGGAAGCCGACAACCTACTTTCCTAATAAGTTGCATCGGGTAACAGTTCCCCTGTAACATTTTGGAACCCCTGTAGTGAGATGAAGCGATCGTCGCTGTGATGAGTATGTCCCCGGCATGTAAATGAAAAGTCTGATGAAAACTGCTCTTGTTTCTCTGTGCATTTTTATCATTAAGCTCCCAATGGCTTTAGCGAAGGAGGCTGCGGCGGCCCGGGTCCCCCCCTCTCCTCCAACCCATCTGCTGAAATACTTGGCTAACAGACATCCTTCCTGAAGCTCTTCTTCCTTACAGACCCCACCCACGGCCCAGTCCAGTCTGTCAGACGCTGTCCAGTCTGTCAGTGGACGGACCGTCCCATCACTAAGTCTTTGTAAACATTGGAGGGCAGTTGTTTCTCAAGCACCTGTCGTGTCTTCCCAAGTGTAGATACGGTTTTTGCTGGTGTGGAAGTTGGTTGGCAAGTTCTTTTCTGGTCTCTGTATCTGTGTGTATTTTTAAAAATGTGTTTTTATTTTTTTATTTTTAAAAATATGTTGGTGTTTTTTTTAAGAGAGAGGAGGGGAGAGGGAGAGAGAGAAACATCAATTGGCTGCTTCCTGTATGCCTCCCACCTGGGATCAAGACCAACCCTGGTACATGCCCACTGGGAATCAAACCAGCGAACTTTCAGCGCACAGGACGATGCTCAGCCACCTGAGCTGCACGGACCAGGGCTCACCTTTCTCTTCTTTGTAGTGGGTGTAGCGAGATTTAGAGTCAGTCTTGTGTCTTTAGTTTTTTGTGTGTATTTTTTAATTTACACACACACACACACATATATTTTTTAGAAGCCCAGTGCATGGATTCGTGCACCAGTGGTGTCCCTCGTCCTGGCCTGTGCTCTCTCACAATCCGGGACCCCTCAGGGGATGTCAAAAGCCCGGCGAACAGATTCGGCTTGATTCCTGCAGGCCAGGCCGAGGGACCCCACTGGTGCACGAATCCATGCACTGGGCCTCTAGTGTGCATATAAGATCTTTGGTTAATCTCTTCCTGCCCTCCCCCCTCCTCCCTTCCCTCTGAGATTCATCAGTCTGTTCCATGTTTCCATGCCTGTGCACTGAGTGTCTGCCCCCTGGTGGTCAGTGCACGTCATAGCTACCAGTCAAATGGTGGAATAGTCACTTAGGCTTAGATAGATAGATAGATAGATAGATAGATAGATGATAGATATACACACACATCTTTTTAAAATTGATTTTAGAAAGGAAGAGAGAAGGAGCATCAATGATGAGAGAGAATCATTGATCGGCTGCCTCCTGCATGCCCCACACTAGGGAGCAAGCCCACAACCCGGGCATGTGCCCTGATGGGGAATCGAACCGGGACCTCCTGGTTCATAGGTGGACACTCAACCACTGAGCCACGGTCAGCTGGGCAGTTTTAAATGTGGTCTCCTTTCTTCTCGTCCTCACTCCCCCACCAGTGTTTTTCCCTTGAGGGGCTTCACTGGATTTTCCCTTTTTCTTTTTGTCCAAAAGAAGAGGCAGGCGGGTTGGGTAAAAGGGTCCACAGCTGTTCACCTCTTCCCAGGCGCCAGGGGAGGACGGGGAGGCGGGGCAGAGTCGCGATAGGCCTCTAGCGAATCTGCTGGGGTCACCCAGAGGGCAGGACCACACTTTCTGAATTAAACATCAAGCCCGTTGGTGGGCCAGGTTATAGATGTGCTGGAAGCGATAACGGGACAGCCTCTGACATGGGGGTGTCTAGGGAAACT